CCGGCCCCAGTTGTCCCCGCGGCCGTGCAGCTCCGGAGGGCACGGCCTTGGCCGTGAGAAACAGAGCCGTCGGTGGCCTATGCAAACAGTTACCATTACCAGTGGCGATCACGGGATGCGAGGGACGTGTATTCACGTCTATACAGAGCCCTGGCCGGGTTGCTATGTGGTTAGAGTGTCGCCAGGTAGACCAAAGGGTCTCAGGCCGGTTCCCAGTCACGGGTACATACCTGGGTGCAGGTTCCATCCCCGGCCCTGGTTCTGGGCGGGTGTGGGAGGCAACCAGTCATTATGTCTCTCTCATCATTGATCTCTCTCTCCCTCTCTCCCCCCTCCACCCCTTTCCCTTCCTGTCTGAAATCAGTAAAAATAAACTTAAAAAGCATCTGGAATTGGGAGTCTGACGCGCGAGCCATAGGCACGGGAAAGGCTGTGTGTGGGGTGAACCTCTCTGAGAAGCAAGGCGATCTTTTCGCTGTGCACACAAAGGCTGTTTACAGCACGGAGAAGGCCGGGGGACCGGATCCCAGGAGCCACAAAACCCAGGCATACGGAGCCGGTGGAAGGGACAGAGAAACACCACCGAAACCCCTGTCCAGTCAGTTACTCAGTAAGTGCAATTTCCTCATTGTTTCCAAGACTCACTTCACTGCCTTTACATCCAAAGACAGTATTTAAAAAAAAATACTTTTATTAATTTCAGAGAGGAAGGGAGAAGGAGAAAGAAACATCAATGATGAGAGAGAATCATGGATCGGCTGCCCCCTCCACGCCCCCTACTGGGGATCGAGCCACAGTGCAACCCGGGCATGTGTCCTGACGGGGAATCGAACAGGGGACCTCCTGGTTCATAGGCTGACGCTCTAACCACTGACCTACACCGGCCAGGGCTCCTTTTTTCTTCTTGACAATAGGGGGCTCTTACCTCGGGAACACAGAACCCTCCAAGGGCACAGCTGACCCTGGGCCGCACACGCGCGCGCAGGCAGCACTCACCCCTCCAGCTGGTCCTCGCCGAGGATCTGGCGGAGGCTCTTGAAGAAGGACAGGGAGACCAGCGCATGGGAGTGGCGGATCTTGATGTAGCCCGTGACCACCTCGATGAGCCCCATGAAGTTCTCCAGTTCCGAGGCGATGTTATCTGCGGGAAGAGGGCGCCACGTCACCCAGCTCTCGCTCAGCACAAGGAGGGAACACCCGGGTTCCCACTCACACGCGAGTGACGCCGTGGCAGGGCCTGCTCCGGGGGTGACTCTGAGATGCTCAGGCTGCTGGTGCGGGAGCCCCCATACCCCCCACCCCCACCCCCAGGCAGTGGAAGGTGTGTTTCTAGGAGGCTGGACGTGGTAGCTCCCAGGCGGAGGAAGAGAAAGTAAAATCATAAATGCCATTCGCCAATTAGCTAAGGCCACCGCGTCTGGAGAGCAGCCTTTGTTGTATTTTGTTTTTCTTAAAAAACCAAACACAACACATATTTTTATTGATTTCAGACAAGAAGGGAGAGGGAGAGAAAGAGAGAAACATCCATGATGAGAGAGAATCATGGACTGGCTGCCTCCCGCACGCCCCCTAGTGGGGATCGACTGCACAACAGGGCATGCGCCCTGATGGTGAATGGAACCGTGACCTCCTGGTTCATGGGTCGATGCTCAACCCCTGAGCCAGCGGGCTGGGCGCCGCGCTGTTTCTCGGCCTGTATTTTAGTTGTGAGTCGGGGACGGGTAGAAAAGGCACCAACCCAAGAAAACCAAGAGATCCTGCAGGATGCGGGCAGGGGAGGGGGGCGGACATGGGGGAAGGGAGGGGGAAGGAGGAAGGGATACTTACTGCCCCTGCGGATGTTAATGAGCAGGTTGCCCTTGAAGATGGTGCAGCCCTGGAGCATCTGAGCCGAGGTCACCGAGTCGATGGTCTTTGTCCCCTTGTCTTCCTCACAGATTTTGGGGCACGGTCCTTCGCAGGGGATGCAGTACATGCTGCGGGAGAGAAAGGAGCCCCCCAAATGCGGAGGTCAGTGCCTCCTCGCCCCGAAGAGAGCCCACATGGATCCGTGTTCATTCTAGCCGGCCACGCGATCAACACCGCTGTGTGGTGGTAGTTGTTTAAAATATTGGGCGTCCCAAAATTCACGCAAGAAGTAATTTTGATAGAAAACAGAGGTTTATAATTAAAAAATGTACATTTTTTTTGATTCACAAAGTATACAGGATAGGGTTATGTAGGGAATAGCATATCGGGTGAACTGGATTATCATGTCTCAATAGCGAGCACCATTAACTGTTATTGCCTGAGCAGCCGCATTTTTGAAGAAGAATGGTCCGATGATGCCTCCAGCCCCTAATCCGCACCAAACAGTGACACGCTGTGGATGCATTTGTTTCCCAACAATCACTCGTGGACTTTCTGAACCCTGAATGCGACAATTTTGTCGATGAACCAAGCCATCAAGATGAAAATGAGCCTCATCGAAACTCAGCCACATTCATGCAAAACGGTCATGGAAAATTTCAACAAACGAGTGCGTATGTGCCAGCAGAGCCGTGGAGGCCACTGACCCCATGTGCTATATTTACCCGATATGCTATTCCATACATCACCCTAGACTGTACGCTTTACGAACCCATAAAAAATTTACAATTTTTCATTATAAACCTGTGTTTTCTATCAACGTTACTTCTTGCGTGAATTTTGGGACGCCCTTTCTATTTTTAAACATGTAACGTAGGCCCGCTCTCTCAGGTGGACCCACGCCCGTCACCTCCCCCAGGGTCCCTCCCCCCCTCAGAAGGGACAAAGGCTGGGGCCCAGGGGACCCCCGGGCCGGGAGACCGACCTCAGGCTGTCGTTGCGGATGAAGCCGGAGGGGCACTCCTGCATGCACTCGCCGTCGTGGATGACGAAGCCCTCCAGCTCGAAGCTGTCGGCGTTGGGGATGGTGGCGCAGAAGTCGCGGTCCACGCAGCGCCAGCCCTCGAAGCGGTAGGTGTTGGGGGGACAGTCGGTCACGCAGACGCCCTCGTGGTAGTAGTGCTTGCAGGCCACGCAGGCCGCCTCGTCGTCGGGGGCCGTGCAGCCGCCCAGGCACTCGGGGTGGCAGCACTCGTTGTTCTCCGTGCACGCCCGCTTCCCGCACGCGCTCGGGCAGGCTGTGGGGCAGAAGGGACGGGGGTGAGCGTGTTGCTTTTCTTTTTTAAAAAAATAGATTTTTATTGATTTCAGAGAGGAAGGGAGAGGGAGATCAATGATGAGAGATAATCACGGATCAGCTGCCTTCTGCATGCCCCCGACTGGGGATCCAGCCTGCAACCCCGGGCACGTGCCCTTGACCAGGAATCGAACCTGGGACCCTTCAGTCCACAGGCTGACGCTCTATCCACTGAGCAAACTGGCTGAGATAAGGGAACATCCCTTACAAGGCCCCCGAGTGTCAGTCAGGGTCCCCGCTAAGATGCAACATTGTAGCTGCAGCTCGCTCCATAGATACATACTCAGGGGCAGATGCAACTACATCTAAGGAAATGGCTGTGCTACCGAGCAGCCGGAGCAACTAAACCAGCGGTTCTCAACCTGTGGGCCGCCACCCCTTTGGCGGTCGAACGACCCTTTCACAGGGGTCGCCTAAGCCCATCCTGCATATCAGACATTTACATGACAATTCATCACAGTAGCAACATGACAGTGATCAAGTAGCCACGGAAATAATGTTATGGTTGGGTCACTACATGAGGAACTGTATTTAAAGGGCCAGAAGGTTGAGAACCACTGAGTTACTAGACGGAGCAACTGGACGCAGGGAGACTCCAAGGTCCCCGGAACCCGTCCCCCCAAACAACTCTGATTCCCGAGACCAAGTCTGATTCACACTCGTCACCAATTCCTAGGCTCAGCCAGAGGGAGAAACAGCCTGTGCCCCCACCCCCCCCTTCCAGGGACCTTGTCCCTGCCTGGCCAGTACAGAGGGGAGGCCGAGGGGTGCAGGGAAACAGGTCACGATGGCTCCTGAATGCCTCTGCGAACGTTTCATTAGCCAACAAAGGCAACAGTCACCTCCAGACAATACCGGTCGCACGGCTTCCGTCTCTCCCGGACCCGACAGGCGGTGCTGGGCGGACTACTGAGAGGACGGGAAAGAAAGAAGGGCCCCCCCAGGAAAGCAGGGCGGGGGGGGCAAGTTACAATGGCAACAGTATCGAGTAAAAATTTCAAGAGCTCATTAGTGAGAGGGGAGAAAAGGCTGCCACCAGTGCAGAGATACAAAGCAGGCTCGCCACCCGCGGGGAACGTAGGGCGGTCGGAATCCTCTGGCGGGGCTGTGGGTTATGGTTTTTTTAAATCCATTTTATTTTATCATAAAAATATTATTATTAGAGAGGAAGGGAGAGGGTGAGAGAGAGAGAAACATCGATGAGGAGAGAGAATCATGGACCGGCTGCCTCCTGCACGCCCCACACTGGGGATCGAGCCCACAACCCGGGCATGTGCCCTGACCAGGAATGGAACCCGTGACCTCCTGGTTCCTAGGTCGATGCTCAACCACTGAGCCCTGCGGGCTGGGCTAGACAAGATTTAATGGGAGAAAAAAATCAAGGAAAAGGAGGGGAGACAGTTCCCCGGACCAGGCAGGGCCCGCCTGCTCTAGTGAAGTGTGATGAGGGTGGCCTGCGTCCAGTTCTTCACCAGGGACGCACAGGTGTCTCTCACACAACTCACACCCCCTCAACCTGCTTTTAAATTTTTATTATTATTATTTTGTAGTATTTCTCCAGAAGAGGAGGAGGAGGAGGGAGAGGTGGAGAGAGAGAGAGAGAAAGAAAGAAAGGAGAAAGATGCCCATAGATCCTGCTGCACCTTCCCCAGCGTTGTGACCGCCAGGCACGGCCACATAAAGATGCCCGTCGCCTGTCACAGATGCTTACATGGCCAGGGCGGAGAGGGGAAAAAAAAAATATCCTTTTCACACACTTCAAAATTACTCCAAGTTATTTTAGATCGGGAACTGTTTGTATATTCCTTATAAGTTTATGAAACGCGCACTGTCCCTCCATGACTAACGGCAGAGGAATTGGGAGAGGAGTCTATATTTATCGCTTGTCTGAGGCTCCGAGCTCGCGGCCCTAGTTCCACTCTCCGTTACTGTACACAGAGCTATGCGAGGCCCCGCGGGCTCCGCGGCGTCGTCGTCGTCGCCGATTTCCTAACAAGGCAGGCCCGGGCCCCGCAGGGACACACACACACACCGGGGGCTCGTGTACAAGTGCAAGCCCGGCTCAGAGGGAGAGGGAGGCCTCTGGCTTTGTGGTTGCGGCTGCATCTCAACACCGGTGCTGGGGCCCGTGTCTGGACAGTGACACGCCTTCCTGGTATCGACCCAGGTATCCACGCCGCTGATAGATGCCTACTGTATACATCCGGGCTATCTAGTGGGAGCCGCAAAGAACACTCCTTCTTCTTACTTTTTAAAATGTATTTTTATTGATTTCAGAGAGAGGGAGGAAGAAGGGGAGAGAGAGAGAAACATCCAGGATGAGAGAGAAATCATGGACCGGCTGCCTCCTGCACGCCCCCTACTGGGGATGGAGCCTGCAACCCGGCCATGTGCCCGGACTGGGAATCGAACCCTGACTTCCTGGTGCCTAGGTCGACGCTCAGCCACTGAGCCACGCCGGTCGGGCCATGGTGCACTCTTTGCTACAGCTTTGAGCTTAGCCTTGAGAGTGGCACATCTTTGTGAAAAGGAGGAAAAAATGGCCAGTAGCCCACTTCTCTCTTCTCTAACGTCAGGAGGGGAAATAGAGAGCTCGTCTCAATTCTGTGACTGCTAGTGAGGCTGGGGGTCCCCACCACCCACATTTTTTTTCCCAAAAAAATCACTTGTGGTCCCTTTACATGTCTCTTAGTGTCTTTGGTCCATTTTCTTCTTGGGAGCTTAAGTTTTTACTGTATGTTTAGATTTTTTTTAAGCCCTTAAAAATGAATATGCTTTTTAAAAATAGCATCTAGTATGTGCCTTGAAAGTATTTGTCTTGTCCGGCTCAGTGGTGGAGCGTCAACCTAGAAACCAGGAGGTCAGGGTTCGATTCCCGGTCAGGGCACATGCCCGGGTTGCGGGCTCCATCCCCAGTAGGGGGCGTGCAGGAGGCAGCCCATCCATGATTCTCTCTCATCATGGATGTTTCTCTCTCTCTCCCTCTCCCTTCCTCTCTGAAATCAGTAAGGTAAATAAATACAAGTGTCTGTCTTAGGTGGCACGAGAGAAAGGATACGCACCTCCTCCCCCTGCTTCTGTGACGAAGGAGAGGCGTGGACAGCAGTGAGCACACACCAGGAAACTCATTTATTGCCCCCCCGGCTTCCCCGGTCGTCCCAGCTTTGATCGTGTTCCTTCCTGATGGCACGTGTCTGGGCGTGGAAACACGTACTCCCGAGCATAAAGTCACCGCGCGCGCCTTTCCGTTCCCTAATCTGACGGCCGGCCCCGCTTCCTGAGGTTGGAGTCCCCGTACGGATGTGGGGAAACCGCAAAAGGCCCGCCAGGCATTTGTTTCCAGGGTGAGCCAGCTCTGTCCTCAGGGCACGGCAGGGAGCAGGGTGTCTTGGGCGGCCACAGAATGATGGCCACGCGAACCCCAGGAGAAGCAGGTTTGGGGGGGCTGGGCCGTGGCACGCCTGCCCCCACAAAAATGCAACAGTTCATGTGTCTGATGAGTCACAAGGGCCCTGGGAAAACCATACACGTGCGGGAGGTTAACTGACTGTCCTTGCAAAGATGAGTGCGCAAGCGAAAAACAAAAACAAACAGCCCTGACCGGTGTGGCTCAGTGGCTAGAGCGTCGGCCTGCGGACTGAAGGGTCCCGGGTTCGATTCCGGTCAAGGGCATGGACCTTGGTTGCCGGCACATCCTCAGTAGGGGAGTGTGCAGGAGGCAGCTGATCGATGTTTCTCTCTCATCGATGTTTCTAACTCTCTATCCCTCTCCCTTCCTCTCTGTGAAAAATCAGTAAAATATATTAAAAAACCAAAAAACAAATCCTGCCATTCCCATGGAAGCCTGTTGCTTCGTATTGTGTTTTGTTTTTGTGGGTGATGGAGGCATTGCATTGGATAAGCATGTTATTGATTTTTTTAAAAAATTTATATTTTTATTAATTTCAAAGAGGAAGGGAGAGGGAGAGAGACAGATAGAAACATCAGTGATGAGAGAGAATCATGGATCGGCCGCCTCCTGCACGCCCCCTACTGGGGATCGAGCCCGCAACCCGGGCATGTGCCCTGACCGGGAATCGAACCCTGACCTCCTGAGGACATTTTTTCCACTTTATTTTTTTAAGAGAGAGCGGAATGGATGGGGTGAGACACACAGAGAGAAACATTGATGTGAACGAGACACATCGATTGGTTGCCTCCCACACGTGCCCCTGAAACCGAGGTACACGCTCTTGACCTGACTCAAACCTGCAGGCCCTTCAGTCCACCGGCTGACACTCTAACCACTGAGTCAAACCGGCTAGGGCCTAAGGCTAACTTCTTAGCCCTTCCCGTAAACACTGTCAAACCCCAAACTAGCCAAGTCACTTAATAAAAATAAAAATTTTAAAAGGGGGGGGGGGCTCTCCAGCATGAATCTCTTCTTCAAACATCTTATCCAAAATCCGGGACTTGCATACACTGAAAAGAAGAGTCTGGAAATGTTTGAGGCAGCGGTTCTCCACCTGTGGGTCGCGACCCCTTTGGGGGACGAACGACCCTTTCAACAGGGGTCGCCTAAGACCATCGGAAGACACATACTGTATCTGATTCATATTGTTTTTGTGATTCATCACGATGCTTTCATTATGTTCAATTTGAAACCATGAAAATACATCCTGCCTATCAGATATTGACATGACGATTCATCACAGTAGCAACATGACAGTGATGCAGTAGCCACGAAAATAATTTTATGGTTGGGGGTCACCACGACACGAGGAACCGTATGAAAGGGTCGCGGCATGAGGAAGGTTGAGAACCACTGGTCTAAGGAGTCCTCTCTCTCTCTCAGCACAACCTCCTTGAATATCATGGCCGAGCCTCGCTGTCCCGAGTTGCAGCGCACCCTCACGGCCAGCAGAGGGCGCACGAGACCGGGGCGCGGACCCCCCGCTTTGC